GCAGAGATACAAACCTACAAGAAACTTGTGGAAAGGGAGATAAACTATCATAACTTTATCTTCCTTTCACCAAGATGAGAAAACTGATCCTAGTTTATTTAGTGATGTGCCACACACCTTTCTAAAAGCACAGGGTATGTTATGACCACTCCCAGGAAGGTCTGGTCAGAATACCATCTCCAGGGAATAACACAAATGGCAAGTCATTTAAGAGAGGAAACAAGCTTTTGTTGGGTTTATTCTGAAGGTCAGAGAACATGCCACCCCAACATATGCTGTGTTGTTATATTGATGATCTTGGAGCTACAGATGCTTGAAAAATAGCAAGTGCATGCAGAGGCTTTCACTGAAGTCTCTTGATCGACATAAAATCAGACTCCCACAAAAGGAGCTTAAATGTCATGGGTCCCCTTGAAGGAAGAAGTGTCATCAGGCAGAGAAGACTGACTCCTGTCACAAGTAAAAGTTGACATCAAACCCAAGCTTTGCTACAAACTATTCTCCCCCAGCCCCATTCATCTTTCCTAAAAATTATTTACTCTGCTCTAAGAGGCCTACATCTCCATCCCCTTTCCCTAGGAAGAAGGTATTTAAATCTGCATTCTAAGCCAACTTAAGGAGTTACTCATTTTTTCCTGGGGTCTCCCACATATACACAAGGTACACATGTTAATGAACTTTGTTTTTCTCTTGGTGATCTGTCTTGCATTACAAGGGCCTAAGAACTCAGAAAGGTAGAGGAAAACTATTTTTTCCTCCTCCATAATTATATCATCGCTCAGGGCCTTCAGTGGGTGCGAGAGGCAGTTGCCAGCACCAATCACCCCTCAAGGCTTTTCCACCTGCCTCTGCTCCTGAGGGGCAATCGGGGCTGGCAGCCACCACTCACACCTGCTGATGGTGCTGACCCCACTCACATCCACTGCTGGCTCTGGCCCCAATTGCTCCATGCCATCAACAGGTGCAATCAGAGCCGGTGCTGCCAGTGCCAGTGAGTAGCAGAAGAGGGAGCAGGGCTACTGGCAGACAGGGAACCAGTGGCCATTGTGGGAGGGGCTGGGCAAGGGTGTGGAGGATAGGCCAAGATCCACCCCTGTGCCCACCACCACCTCATGGCCCACAGTTCCTTTCAAGGTGCATGAACTCATGCACTGAGTCCCTACTGTTGAATAAGAATGGTTAAAGTGGACATCCCTGTCTTGTTCCTGTTCTTAAGAGGAACATTTTTTTGTCCTTGTCTATTAAGTATGATGTTGGCTATAGATTTGTCATATATGACCTTTATTATATTGAAATATGATCACTCTATTTTCACTTTGCTAAGCATTTTTATAAAAAAAAATGGGTGTTGGCTTTTGTTGAATGCTTTTTCTGTGTCTATTGATATATCATTTTTATCCTTCATTTTGTTTATGTGATATATCATATTTATTGATTTGCCAATATTGTACCAGCCTTGAATCCCCAGAATAGATACCACTTAGTCATGGTGTATGATCTTTTTAATGTATTGCTGAAATTTATGTTGAGAATTTTTGCATCTATGACCATCATGGATATTGGCCTATAATTCTCTTTTTTAATAATGTCTTTATTTGGTTTTGGAATTAGGATAATGTGGGCTCATAAAAAGAGCTTAGAAGTACCCCTTGTTTGTTTGCTTGTTTGTTTTTTGTTTTGTTTTGTTTTGTTTTTATAGTTTGAGAAAGCTAGGTATTAGTTATGTGTGTGTGTATGTATGTGTGTGTGTGTGTATGTGTGTGTGTGTGTATATGTGTTTTAATTTTTAGTAAAACACACCTTTGAAGCAATAAGTCCTGATCCAGGACTTATTTTTGCTCAGAGCTTTGTTGATTTTTTATTATTATTATTATTACTGCTTTAATTCCTTCTGTTGTTATTGGCCTATTGAGGTTTCTTGATTCTCTTGATTCAGTTTTGGAATAATTCATTTTTCTAGGAATTTGTCTATTTCTTCCAGGTTGTCCAGCTTTTTGGCGTATAGTTGTTAATAATATTTGCTTTCAATCCTTTGAATTTCTACTAGTAGAGTGTCAACTGCTACTTAGCCTCTTTCATTTTCAATTTTATTTACTTGCGTCCTCTTTCTTTGTTTCTTGATGTGTCTGGCTAAAAGTCCATCAATATGTTTTATCTTTTTTTTTTTTTTTTTTTTTTTTTTTTTTTTTTAACTAATGCTTACCAGAGGATATTTTTTTTTTTTTCATTGATTTTTAGGGAGAGTGGGAGAGAGAGAAAAAGATAGAGAGAAACATCAATGTGAGAAAAACACATAAATTGATTTCCTCTTTCTGGAAGAAATGAGCAGGACCCAGGCTGAATAGGAGCCTTCAACCAAGGTACCTGATCTTGACTGGAATCGCACCCAGGATCCCTTGATGCACAGGCCGACACTCTATCCACTGAGCCAAACTGGCTATGACAATCTTGTTTATCTTTTCAAAGAACCTGCTCTTGTTTTTGTTGAATTTTTTTATGTTGTTATTTTCAGACTATATGTCATTCAGGTTTCTTTAAATATATTCTCAGAAGTGGATTTGTTGGATCACCATAGAGTTCTATTTTTAATGTTTTAGGAAATTTGACACTGTTTTCCACAGTGGCTGTACCAATCTGCATTTTCACCAATAGTATACAAAGGTTTCCTTTTCTCCACATCCTGTTGACCTATTGCTGATAGCCATTCTGACAGTTGTGAGGTGATATCTCATGTGGTTTTAATTCTCATTTCTCTGGTGACATTGGGAATCAGACTCACAGATACAGAAAACAGAATGACAGATGTCAGAAAGGAGGAAGGTTGAGAGCAGGTGAAGATGATGAAGGGGTTAACCAACAAATAAACTCATAGACACAGACAACAGTTTGGTGATTAAAAATAAGAAAGAGGGTTGAGGGAGGTAGAATCATGTAAATGGGGCATAAATGGTAATGAAAAGAGACGATTTTGGATGGTGAAAAACCTATATAATTTTTATTAATCAATGTTACCCCAATAAATTCAATAAAAGTTAAAAAAAAAAACACACACAAAAAAAACAATCATTGATACTACAGGGCCACAAAATGGAAACAGGCTAGATTTCTGAGTAACTGATTAGAAGAATGTTGTTCTAAAGAATGTTCTTTTGAAAACATATAATATAATTTAATCATTGAGATGTCATAGGTGCTTGGGTCCTTCTGGCTTTTGCCTTGCTGAGCAATCTGAGATGGTGTCTACAGTGGGGACCCAAAATGCTATTTATGACTAATTATATCAGGTAAAGACTCAAAGCCTTCAGAGAACCACCTCTGCCTGCAGACTGATTTGTTTCAGTCTGGAGTGTCCTCAGCAATGATTCACTGGTGGAGTGGGAGGTTTTCCAACAAGTGAGACAATTGCTTCTGCTGGAGGCTAATTGTTACTTTCAGTCTCTTAATGGGCCTCTGAAACTCCATAGGGTGGGGCAGGATATTTTCAAATAGGGTGGGTCAACTATCTTCCCCCAGGCTAACATGTCATGATAGCATTGGTTTGCCTGAGAAAGATGGCCTCAGCAGCATGACCCTTTGCACCTCTGCCTCTCCTACCAGATTTTATGCAATCTTCTCTTCCTGTCCTTGGTTATCAGCTTTCTCTCCAGTGAGTGCTTACATTTTTAGACTGGTTCTTCTGTGTTTTAGTTGGAATTCTAGTTTGATACTGGGAGTATGTCTGTGAGCTTTTATTTACTCCACCACCATTTTAAATCCTCCTCTTTTTATATCTTAACAGTTGTATAACTTCTGCTTTCTCTTGTGATTCAAGAAGGCAAATTCTGAAGCTGCTCACAGCTGGAGTAAATAACCACCTAGGACGCTCTGAGGAAGCTTCCTGGCTGAGGACAGAGTCCTCCTCCCCCAACTTTACATTTCTTTAAATATTTCATGTGGTCTGAGTTTCGATTTGTTTAAATAATACACAAAATATTTCATTTCACCATTATCTCTAAACTATAAAAATAATTCCTCTTTCTATTTAAAATAACATTAGACTAATAAGGATCTCTTGCTTTCTTTCAAAGTTGAAACACTTAGTTTCTCCAGGAATAATACATAGTAGAAGTTGAAGAGCAGAAGGTGATTCTTTACTCTGATAACTGCTGCTCAAATAGAAAGACAGAGTGATGGGGGCTGGAGGATTTTATATTCACCTAGTAAGATTGCTAATAATATGGTAATAGGATTGGTTCATAACTATTCAGAAAATAATGTAGAATATAAAGCTAGATGTAATTCATCTATTATATGACCATATTTAAAAAATATTTAGATACTAATGTATAAGTGTTCTATAATTAAGAAATGTAATAGCCATAGTTGGTTTGGCTCAGTGGATTCTGCTTGGGGACTGAAGGGTCCCAAGTTCGATTCTGGTCAAAAGCACATGCCCAGGTTGTGGGTTTGATCCCTAGAAGGGAGTGTGCAAAAGGCAGCCAATCCATGATTCTCTCTCATCATTGATGTTTCTATCTCTCCCTCTTCCTTCCTTTCTGAAATCAATAAAAATATATTCTTTTTTTTTTAAAGCAAAGAAAATGTACTTAAAAAAAAAAAAAGAAGAAATGTAACAGCACTATGGTAAGCCAAGTGAAGATCTCAAGGCCAAAGTAAATTTTCCCTTTTTATTTAATTTATAGGAGTGACATTGCTTAACAAAATTATACAGGTTCCAGGTGCACAATTCCATAACATATCATCTCTCCATTGTTTGTCCACCACCCAAAGTCAAGACTCCATCCATCACCATTTATCTCCCCTCTACCCGCCCCCATCTCCTCCTACTCACCCCCTCCCCACAATCACCACACCATGGACCATTGTTACACATACACACATACAAAAACAAATAAACAACAACAAAAGAACATAACTATATTATTTCAAGAAAATTCTATATATAAGTAAACTCTTGCTTCCCCAGCATAGAAGGGAAAATTCCAGAGACATTGAATAACTTTTGTTTCCTTGAATGGAAATACAAAGCAACTTCAAATTATGCAGTCGAGTTTCCCACATTTGGGGAAATCGCAGGGGTCAGCACATCCAGAGTGCAATGAATAAGCCTCACCCTGGGAAAACCACCTTCGTGATTATGGTATCTCCCCTGCTAGATAAGTATTGGTCCTTACAGTTCTAAACATGATTCTTGTTACCCTCTCCCATTTACTAAGGAGGTGGCTAAGACTTTAGCAAATAAGTCATTTGTTAGAACCACCAGCCAGTCAGAAAGCCCGCATCATACCTAGACCTGAGCAACAAGAAGATTCTTATATTTTTTAGCATTTTCACTTGATATTCATTATGAGTTATGAATGGCTTAAAATTCTTCCTTCCCAAAGGAACTACAAAAAATTTAATTATCTGTATTTTTTTTGATATTCAGATATTTACTTAGGATACCTTAGTTATAATTTTTCTGATACTGTTTGTTTGGCACCCCGCATCCCACCTTTAGAAGCTTGAGAGATGACATAATGTTTTTTAGTCTACATTCCTTAGTTTGTTGGAAATAGTAATTGTTTTTGCTGTATATATACTCAGTCATGATTAGGAAATGTACAAGTTTACTTTTTCACATATGATTAAGTAAAATATGTATATACCAATGTTTTATAAACTATAATATGTATACTTGTTAACTAGGGTGTAGCTGGAGATTCTGCATTTTAAACAATTCACAAAGGATACTGAAAATTTGGTCTATGAAAATGTCTTTGAGTAGCAGGACCATAGATTTTAAGTTTCATAAGAACAAAGTTATATCTGGTTTTGTGTTTCATGTCGGAAAGTATATTAGTGTTTGGCTTCTCTTGCTCTATGTGTTTATTAAAGGCCTGGTGCACAACATTTGTGCACTATGTGGGGGTCTCTCAGTCTGGCCTGCACCCTTTTACATTTGAGGAATCCTTTGGAGGATGTTTGACTGACATCCTAAGCAACAGTTGGAATCTGTAGTGCTGTTATGGAGGCGGCCACTGCATTCAACAGCCATCCGCCCAGATTGGGGCTGAGTGGTGCTCCCCCTGGGAATGCACTGACCACTAGGAGGCAGCTTCTGCATTGAGCATCTGCCCCTTGGTGGTCAATGTGTATCATAGTGACTGGTCATTCTGCCATTCAGTCAATTTGCATATTACTCTTTTATTATATAGGACTAAAGGCCTGTTGCACAAAAATTCATGTACTCAGGGGGCTCTCTCAGTCTGGCCTGCACCTTCTCGAAGTCTGGGACCCTTCAGGGAATGTCCACCTGACAGCTTAGGCCCGCTCTCCAGAGGAATGGGCCTAAGCTGGTAGTCAGACATCTCTCTGCCAGCTTGGAAGCCCTTGAGGGATGTCTGACATTCAGAGTCAAACATCCTTAGAACTGTGGAGGAGGCAGGAAAGGCTCCTGCCATGACCACTGCACTCAGTTGTCAGCCCCTGTGGGAGCACACTGACCCTGTGGGAGCTCCTGCATTGAGCATCTGTTCCGTAGTGGTCATTGCACATTGAGCATCTGTTCCGTAGTGCTCATTGCACATCATAGTGACTGATTGTTCCTGGTCATTCCATGGTGAGGGTCAATTTGCATATTACTCTTTTATTATATAGGATAGTTGTGAGTGTTGATAGTGTTTATCAGATGCCTGGAGGTATCTGATATATTTCAAATAATTAAACAATTAATAAATATAGTCTAAGTGAATTTCTTAGAAAAAGTACTTGAAATTAAAAGTTAATAGGGCTCAGAGATTGAAAAATACAGATTATGTACTTTAGAGAACAAAATATCTACAATAAACTGTGCAGAATAGAACTATGATCTTTCTCACTTTCTCCTTTGAAAATAGTTGATTCTGCCTTTAAAATTTTTTAGGTTTTTTATTTTTAATTTCCCTAATACTCGAAGACCATATTTCAAGTAAATTTATTTGATTTGTTTATTTAATATCAATGATTTCCAATTTTTAAAATCATTGATATTAAATAAACAAATCATTGGTCATGCTAGCAGAAAATTATTCTAAAGAATAGTTAAGAAAATCCACATGAATAACAATAAAAAACTAAAACAAAATTTAGTTTTTTTGATACTTTTGTCTTTCCACTAATTAAAACGTCTATGTTTCTCCAGCATACTTTAGTTTTCATGACTAAGTTACAAGAAATATTCATAAAGACTAGGCTTACATAATTTTAAAGTAAATATTGAAAACCTGACCTGAAAATCTGGGCTATAATAGTCTATTTCACTAGATGGATTTGAGCATCAAATAAGATAATGATTGTGCTGATGCCACAAAAACTATGGAGCAGGTACTAGTCTGGGGTTTCATAGAAAGGGTCAGAAGGGAAATGTAGAGACCACAAAATCCATTACCTGGAATCTTAAATTCTAGTTTATCTTTTCATTTTCTGTTTTCAAAAAAATAATGTAAAATAGATTATCTCTATACTAATAAAAGAGTAAAATGCAAACTGACTATACTTTCGCAATGCCCACCAGCCAATCAAGAGTGAGTAAGAAAATTAACCTAACAAAGAAGGTGGATTAATTTGCATAGACAGGTGCCAAGTGGCTGGGGGAAAGAGGGAATGGGAAGCTTGTGTCATTGCCATGGTGAAGATGAATCCAAAACATCCCAGGCTCTCTGGGCCTCTGGGCTGCATGAGAAGACAGAAAGGCTGCTCTGGGCCAAAGCTAAGGTGGTGCCTGCAGCCAGGGGAAGGAAGTTCTATTCTTGCATGAATATTTATGCCTTTCTAATAATAATAAATCATAGAATTTTTTCAAGTGATTTTATGAAAAACATTCATATTTATGAGCAATGTTGAATTTAAAGGGTAACTCAGGTGTAGGTTGTATCTCACAGATTTTGGGAGACATCTAGACTTGAAAATACCTGCTATAGGTGATACACATTAGCATCAAAAGAAAATATTATTAGATTATATATTTAAGAAATGAGATAAGAGAAGAATCATTAGAACTAAAGCCTTTCTCTTGTAGGATAGCTATTTACTTGGGAATGGGGGGAAGGCAGTGTGAGTGTTCTAAACTGACAATGCCAAAATTACATTATTTATTTGCTAGGGTTTCACTGTGTTACCTTAATCTATTTAGTATCTTTAATGTAAAATAAAAATAGATTGTTACCAAAAAAAAGTATCCTCCCATTTTCTACCTTCTCCCTTCATCCCAGGTTGTTAACCAGCTATGCAAAGGTGTCTTCTAGTCACAAATAAACATAAAATTTATTATCTTAATTAAATGAAGAACATAAAAAAGAACATCATAAAAAAATTTTATGAATTCCAAACTTAAACATTAAAGAATTTTGACTTATTTTGTTAAAAATTAAAAACTAATTTTGTTTTCCCAATATAGACATAACTACATTCTTGCCATTCTTCTGCTGTGATAAATGAAATCCTCTTTTTTAAATTTTGTATTTAAGGTCTTATAAGTAAAGATCAATTACGTGTTATCAAGAATTATCCACTAAAAATGGATATACTTAAAAATAAACAGAAAAAGGTACCATTTTTATTATAGAAAAAATATGAATAAAGGGAGAAAAGTGACAGATTGTGGTTGCATTAGATTAAAAATCAGTTTCATATTCTATTTATTCTAGCCAGGAAGAAGAACACTTAGAATCAAAAGCAAATTCTTATGAATATAAATTCCTGAACTTGTATCTACTTGTTTCAATAACCTGTCCTTGTGAATATTGGTATCACATATATGTGGTTATCATAAAATATTCAAGGATTATTATTAAAGTTTGAAATTTCCTTACATCTAAATTTTATTGGATTTAGGCATCCATAAATACAGTAGAAAATATAAAGTGAATTAATTATTACTTGCATATACAATTAAAAATAATAAATTTATTCCAATAGTTTAAATTATTTTCTCATCTGAATATAGTGAGCAATTACAAGGAATACATGCACTGTTGAAAAAATTGTATTTGTAAAGTGTTCATTTGCCTAATGCAATTTTTAAATGTATGCTGTTTATAGGTACACAAAGATTATACAGTGAAGACTAATTAGCAAAGAAAATAGTAACTAACATAGTACTTTAAAATCAGCACATACTAAGATATACTTCTTAAATGGCTCTTTATCATAAAGCATATCTTGAAAGATCAATGTAGGCATAGTATCAACTAGGGCATACTTTAAAAGCTGTAATTGGACTTTATCCCAGAAAAGGCTAAATAAAATGAAATATGTTTTATATCATTATGCATAGTCTTCTATGCTAAAAAATAGCCTCATATTTCTTAGAAGCATGAAAAATTGTCCAAAAAAGGAATCATTTTTAAAGAGAGAGAGAGAGAAGGAAAAGAAGCAATCAAAAAAGAAAGGGCAAGAATTTTAGCATCCTTTAGCAAAGAAAGCAATAAATGGCATGTGTGAATAATTTCAAAGCCTTTAATAAGCTGCTTGTACCTCCCAAAAGACTTATTGAAAAATATTAAAGAAATGTTTTAAACACTTGAAAAGTACATATGAGACAATTATTGTGTTTTTTAAATCTAAAACATAGAATGTGAGTACAATATTTACCGTATAAAGTCTTATCTGAGAGAACATTAAAATAATATGAAAATAGCTGAATATTGCAAGCTTATAGTCCATGAAGTTTATCTGGAAAACAAAAGATCCTTCCTAACATGTACATTTATTTTGTTGTTGTTCAAAGAAGAAATTACCTTATTATTTCTATAAACATTTGTAAAGGGCTATATTTACACATTACTATTTAGCATTGTTTTCATGTTTGTTGAAGGTAAAATATGGGATTCTACCATAATTTTAGTTTTTCAGTTCAAATGGTTAACTATTTGGAGTCAAAATAATCTGAGAATATACCATGAATGAGATGGACATGGGTATTATATATTGTAACATTTCTGTATATAGGCTTAAAATTATGATATAACAAATGGATCCAAAAGTTCAACATATATATATATATATATATATATATATATAGATGATAGTATTTATTCAATTATATGAGAATATTTTAAAATGATTTTAACATTTTGAACAATATTTTAAAACCTCAATATTAGTAAGGCATCTTAATATTATAAATTGTATTCCACTTTTGCT